GAGTGACACACGTTTGCACGATGTGGGCTCCTCACTGCAGCCTTTGTTCTCCTGACAAGCCTGGTGCCTTCCGGCCCGCGTGGCACACGGCTCACGGCGTCTCAAAGGTCAAAGCCAAACTCCAGACCGTGGTGTTTGCCAGGCAGAGCCATCCAGGCCAGGGGCCCACCTGGCAGTGAGGGGGTAGGACTGGTAGCACCAGTGGAAGTGAGTTGTGGTTCAGCCAGGAAATGCAAAGTAAATCGTAAGGGGGTGATTGCTATCAGCTTGCTGGCACTTCATCCCCAAGCCCTGAAGAGTGAGGGGCCCATGTGGAAGCCCCCACCCCTTCAGCATGGGGTTCGTGGTACTGTCCCCTGCTTCTACTGAGACAGACCCACAGGGAACCCACAGGGAAGGTGGCCATGTCCTTTCTTCCTCACTGAGAGGCCCCAGCCAGCTCCTGGACCAGGAGTGTTTGGGGGGCGGGGTGGGGTGGGGGTGGGGGGCTTATACCCTGTGTGACTTGCCAAGGGAGCAGAGATGTATGGTGGCAGTCATGCCTTCTCGGGGCAGCATCCCAAAGTCACATCATGGGGCCTTTGAACCTGACACCTGCTGACCCTGGCACAGCCATTTATCTGCCCCCTCCAATCAAAGTACGGCCTGATTAATCCCACGTGCCCAGGTCGGCACAACAAACCTCTCCGGTTTCTTGAGTTACGTTGTTGGACCTTCTATTCAAGGTCATCATCTGCCTTTTCACTTAGTCATATTCTCCTCCGTGGCCTTTATTAAGAGACTGCACACACCTCCATGTGTTGCACTTAGTCCCAAGTATTATAGCTCATAGATCACTTGCAGAGGAGACCTTTTTTTTTTCCCCGGAGTAGCTTTTAGCAACAAGCTCTTTGGTTTCTGCATATTAATCCTGGGTGGCGCTGCCCAGAGCTGACGGAAGGAATCATAGCTCTTCCCCTGCCATCCAATCTCTCCCAGGCGTCGGAGCCTGGGGGTGAAGTTTGCAGACTTCCAGCCCCTACGGTGGGAAGTCAGAAGAAGGGGCCAAGAGGCGGAGAGATAACAGGCTTGGATGGTTACCTTGTATCCTAGAGAAACCATTTCTGTCTGTTATTAGGGTTTTTACCAAGAACACTGAGTTATTTCAAAGGCCCTTCCAACATTTATGAAGACGATTGTTGTGGTTCTCACTCCCTAAACAAAACCCCCGTTGCTGTCCCCGAGGGGGCTCTAACTCATGGCCCCCTCGCGTGTGGCAGAGTGGAGCTGTGCCCATGGGGCCTCAGGGGCTGGGGTCTTCCAGAAGCAGCCAAGCACTTACCCGTCTGTGTCAGCCAAGGGACTGTGTTGCGGTTCTCCACTCCACTCCACTCCCAGTGCATTTATAGGATCGCTTTGCTTCGGGGTCACCTCGGTGGCAACGAGGAAGGAGCCGGCCTCGTCTTGTCTCTGTTCTTGGCCAGCTGCTGTGGGGTTTGCGTTTGGTGATTTCATGCTTGGAAGTCTTGCACAGACGTTCACGTTGATGTACGACTGGTCTGTGGTAGCCCTTGTCTGTATAGTCTTCGTGGAATTCGGGGATTTCCCTCATTTGCTTATCCTTCTGAGACATTTTGAGGAGCATCAGGATCTCAGGCCCTGGTGGCATCATGGGCTAAGCATTGGGCTGCTAACCACAGCATCCGCAGTTCACAGCCACCAGCCACTCCTTGGGAGAAAGTTGAGACTCTCTACCCACAGAAAAAGCCCCAGCCTGGGAAACCCACAGGGCAGCGTTACTTGGTCCTTTAGGCTGGCTCTTAGTCAGAACTGACCGAGGGTTGTGAGTTTGGGGCTTCCTCACAGTGGGTTTCCCTGCGAGGCTGCTGGGTCCTGCGACATGTGGGAGGGACGCCGGCTCACCTCCATCTTCCCGTTTGGGGTGACCATGTGTTAACGTGTGCCAAGCTGGTGACGCCTCACTCCATGATCCCAATGCTATTTAGCGTCAGCTCCAAACTGGGTGCCCTTCGCGCCGGCACCCCAGTCCTTTTACAGCTTCTGTGAACCAGACAGTCGGTGGTTCGAGTCCACCCCGAGGCAGCTCAGCAAGGCCCAGTGATCCGAGTCCCCACATTCCCTCCACCGTGGAAGACCCCAGAGCACATGGCGCAGCCCTGAGTCACGGGAACTGCCACGAGGAGAGACACCCACGGCGCCTGGTGGCTTCCAGGCCACCCTCGGGGCTTGCGTTTTACTTAACATACAGCGCTCTGTGGAGTGACTTCCCCGTGTGTTTAGGGTATGAGTCAGACCGTAAACGAGATTCCCGCATGGGAACTGTGGCCCTGGTGGCTCCGTGGCCCCGGCAGTCCCATTCTCACCAGGTGGTGTTGGCAGGGTCCACACTCCCGTCGCTCCGCTCTCCGTCCCTCGGCCTCCCTGCCCCGCTCGCTGGGCTCCTGCCTGGGTGAGAGGCAGTGTGGATTAGGTGAGGGCGCGCTGCTGCGCAGGGCGTGGGCTCCCTCCTCTTTGAAGTCACCTGCCACTCTGCCCTTGAGCAGCATGTTGGCCTGCTCGGTGTGGCATTGCGGGGGCACACTCGCCCTAGGTGGGGGCCCCGCTTGCGTTCTGGCCTCGGCCGCCCTCAGAGGAGTTGAGGGCCAGCTTGGTTGGCTCTCCCTCTGGTAGGAGATTTCTTGGGGCCCGAATCAAACCCTGTGTATCTGGGCCCCATCAGCCACCTTGCTCGGAGCTGTGATCTTTGCCTGGCTCACCTGCTGCTCTCCTACTGCTCACCTGCAACGCTTCCCGTTGAGGCGGGTTTCAAACAGTGGTTTCTGAGCAGGGTTTGTCTCTGGCGCGCTGCTCCTTGGCTCTGCCTCCTGTACCTGTCACTCAACATTGCGGGCAGGCTCTCTCTTCCCCAGAGCCAACTCTCCTTCCAGTGGGACTCCAGGTCTCCTGCCTGCCTGCTTCCCCTTCCTCCTCAAAGGGCTGATGTTGTCCCTGGTTGGACGGTAGCTGCATGGCCCTGGGAAAGGCACCACATGCATCCCTTGTCCCCTACATCCAGGGATGCGTGTGGTGCCTGGGGAGTGCAGCCTACCGTGTTTGCTTGGGTGTTGTTCATACCAGGGGTCAGCAGACTTTCTCAGGGGACCTGATGGAAATACGCTTGTTTCCATGGGCCAGACGGTCTCTCTGAGAGCCACTGTTGCAGCGTGAAAGCAGCCAGGGCCAATCTGGAGAGAAGTGTGCATGGCTCTGTTCCAATAAAACTTTCTTTGCAAATACAGGCTGTGGGCCGGGCTTGGCCAACGCCTGGTTTATATTAGCCTTCATGGTCATCGCAGCCATCCGGTTTCCCTGTGATCCAGTGTGTTGGGCTGGGGCTTCTGCATTCGACCCGGGGATGGGAGGAGGGAGAGAATGTGCCGGTGACACCTGGGCGGAAGCTAAGGAGGAAGCCGGAGCCCATTCTTTCCTCAAAGTGTTGGGGAATCCGCCTGCACCGGGGTTCACCCCAGCCCCAGCCTCCCTCCCCAGAGGGCTCCTGTCTGTCCAGAGTGACTGGGAGGCTGAGGAACAGAGCTCGGCCCATCTCCACATCCCGTGGTTCGTGGGTCTGCTCCTCTCCTGATTCTTGTCGATGATCCCAGTAAGACCCTGCTGGCAAGGTCAGGGTTACGAGAGAACTTCCACACGTGTCCTGGTTGTTGGGGAGCTCATCGGAAACTGGCTGAGCCCCCTTGCCCCACCCCCTCACACACATGTTGAGTTTGGCCTCGGGATGGAGCCCTTAGTGCCCATCCTGCTGAGTGGCCAGACGCTCCACTTGCTGGTCACGATGTTTGTTCCCGTTTCTGCCTTTAAAAAAAAATGCTTCTAATCGGAATATGGAGCCGAAATCTTCATTTTCTGATAAGGCAGCAAGTTAACCTACTTTGTGTAAACCCTCCTCCCTGCCCCCGGGAAGGCTGGCAGGTAAACAGCATGGCGTCAACAAACCATCGAGTCCGTGTGGTCAGCCGAAGGGTGTCACGGGAGCCTGTCCCCAGACGTGCTGGATCCTTCCCCCGCTTGCTGCCCCTCTCCTGTACGAGCCTGATGGCCGGCCCCAGGGCCTGGTCTCTTGATGACATGTCCAAATACATAAGACGGAGCCTCGCCACCCTTGCCCCCAGGAGCTCGCTGGCTGTGCTCGTCCGGGGCCGATGGGTTTGCCCTCCGGGCGGGCCACGGGGCTGTGAGTGTCCTTGGCCAGCACGCCGTGCAAGTGCCTCCATTCTTCGTTCTTCCCTATTGGACATCTGCGGCGGTGAGCTAACTCTTGGGAGGATTAAGTGAAGGAGTGGAGGAAAGCTCGCTCTCGTTTCCAAACCCGAGTTTGACTGGTGTCGGGGACACATCGGAATGGAGCCGCGTCCGTCCGCTAACAGGCAGTCTCTGTTCTCCAAATGCAGAGTGACCGCTGTGCTCCCTGCCTAAGCAGGCGCTGACGCGGGGTGCAGCCTGGGGCCTCTGCCCTCCTTCTCAGGCCGGTTTGGGGTGGGGGTTCCTTACCATCTCCAGGAGTTGGCAGGTGCCCCGGGCATCATTCATCCTCGGCCACACAGAAAAGCAACCAAAGCAGGTGGCCAGTGGGGAGCACAGTCGAACCCCCAAAGAAACACACCACCCCCAAACGCAATTTTGCTTTCACTGAAAAGCCGACTTCCAGGCCGCGCCTCCGCTTATATCCCCAAACCAGACCAGCTGCTACTGAGTCCGCTGTGACCTGGAGGCCCACGCGTGTCGGAGCCGAGCGGGTGCCTCGAGGAGCCCCGCAGCTGCTTTTTGGGAAGTGGACCACCAGGCCCTTCTTCCGGGTGCTTCTCCTTGGGTCCAGACCTCAGCGTCTCGGGGAACAGGGACCCTCTCTCTCGGCCGACGTGGGTGCTTGCTTCTGAGTGCCCCTGTGGCGCGGGAGGGAGAGCGAGCCCAGCGGTGACGATGACGGCACCCTCTCTGCCACTCAGGTTGTTCCTGGTCATCGAGTACGTCAACGGCGGGGACCTCATGTTCCACATGCAGAGGCAACGGAAACTGCCAGAGGAACACGCCAGGTGGGCACCCGGGGCTGGGGGAGGGGGGCACGGGGGGGCACACAGCCCTGCAGGCTCAGCACCTAGACACACACTGGAGGAGGGTGGTGACAGGTTGGGGCCCACCCTTCTCCAGCCCGTGCTGTTTCCCCTGTTCTCCCTTGCCCTCATTCCCACTCTCAACCACCAGCCAACCCTGGGTGTGGCTCGGGCCCCTCGGAGTGGAGTGGACTCCATGCAGGGGGTGGGATTTTGGTTTGAGTTGGACGCTTGGGGGGAAGGCCACTGGTGAGAAAGCCCTCTGGCTGGAGGAGAGACCCGCTCCACACCTCCTAATGGGGTGGGGGCCCACAGCGGCCCCTGCCAGGTGGCTCTCTACCTGAGCCCCTCGTGCCCCCCAGGTTCTACGCTGCGGAGATCTGCATCGCCCTGAACTTCCTGCACGAGCGGGGGATCATCTACCGGGACCTGAAGCTGGACAACGTGCTGCTGGATGCTGACGGGCACATCAAGCTGACCGACTATGGCATGTGCAAGGTCGGTGCCTGGCCAGTCCCGCCACGCCCCCAGCCTTCCGCCCTGCGCCTGGTGTCTGTGTTCACACTGGACCCCGGTCACCAGCTCTGTCCCCACAGGAAGGCCTGGGCCCCGGAGACACCACGAGCACTTTCTGCGGGACCCCGAATTACATCGCCCCAGAAATCCTTCGGGGAGAGGAGTACGGTGAGCTTGGAGAGGACCCTGGGGGGAGGGTTCTCCCCAGACTGTCAGCTGGGTCCCACCCTCGGATGCTCTGCCCGCTTCCGTCCCGCCTGACCCCACCCCACTGGGGGCCTGGAGCAGCTGCAAGGCCGTCGCACACCCGGTCACTCCCAGGCCTGTGCACACAGTGGGCACGCGGTCTCGTTTTTCATCTCCCCTGGGTTTGTCCCCGGCACCCACCTTCCACTCACACCTGCTTTTAAACCCCCTGACAGCCTAGGTTGCCCCAGCTGCCTACTCCCTGGTGTTCCTGGTTACAGGACCCAGGACAGGGGCCTCCTAGGTAGGAAGAAGGAAGGGTGCTAAAGTAAAGACAGACGGTGGGTCCATGAAACCGTGCACGTGTGCATGCGTGTGTGTGTG